TATCGGAGTTGGAGTAGAAGTTGGCGGTGAAGTTGGCGCTACGATGAACTTCTCGTGGTGCTGGGTGTAGTTGTTGCGCCGGTGTCGGTGGTGTGTCGTCGATGAGGAGCGGTGTCGTTGAAGGACCAGCAATTGGTGTTGACGTTCCTGCTGCTGCCGTTGATGGTTCTGCTACTGCCGATGTTGTCTCTGCTGCTGCTGATGTTGTCTCTGCTGCTGCCGATGTTTTCTCTGCTGCTGCCGATGTTGTCTCTGCTGCTGCCGATGTTGTCTCTGCTGCTGCTGATGTTGTCTGAATTGTTGCTAACGCCCTTGTTCTTTCTGCTTCAGGGATGGTGTGTGAATACCAGAAGCCTTCTGGACTGAAGTCTGGATCAAGGTCTGGAGGGTGTGTCCAGTTGGTGAAGTTAACGATGGCGTCGCTGTCGGCGGTGCCAAGATCAGGAACGAAATCGAGAACGAAGACGTTGGTCTTGAGGACCGCCTTGCCGATGTAAAGTCCTCCTCTCCCGTGATACAGCTTGAATTCTTGGGTAGTGCTGTCTGCTTCGAGGTGAATCCCTTTCGCCATTAGCTGACTGACGCTCAGTAAGTTGTAGCCGAGTCCCTCCGTGATTAGTACTTTTGACATCTGCAGTATAACGTTTGTTTCCCTTGACTGAAGTTGAACTACGCCTTGTCGTCGTGTTCGCAGGTTCTGATTGTTGGCGACTGTAATGACAACTTCGCGTTGAAGTTGGTGTTCTCGTTGAACGAAGCGTCCCGAGGAGCACATGTGCTGTCCGCAGCAACTGTCCAAGAACCATGTGTCCTTTCCGGATGGTTCGCTTTGGGCGATGGCGGCGTATGTCGGGTTCGGCTGAAGTGACTCGCGGCGGGGTGTGGTTTCGTCGAGTTGTTCTTCCGGTGAGTAGTGTGGTGGTGACTCGGTGATGCAAGAGTCACTCAGCTTTGCCATGCAGCTGACGATGTTTCTTGCTCCTTGTGCAGGTTGTCCCGTTGAAGTCGTTGAGGCTTGAATCTGGGTCGTGGGATTTGCTTGCGTTGAGGCGATTTTGCTGCTTGAAGGTCGAAGTTGCCGCTGTGGAGTTGTTGACTGTTGACGATTCGGGCAGTGCGTACGCGGGTGTCCTGAAGTTTTGCAGATGTGGCAGAACGGAGGTACTGGCTTCGGTTGTTGCTGCCGGTTGTTGTTGTTGTTGTAGCGTCGCTGAGTGTGGAACGCGAATTCCGGTGTTGATGTCTTCTTTTTGTGTCGTTCTTCTTGCAGGTCCATGTCTTGCTGCTCGGCGTGGATTTCGGCGCAGAGCGCTGCTTCGGAGATTCTTCCGTGAGCTCGGAGAATGGCCTTTGTGGCGCGCCATTGAGGACCGAGGCCGCCGATGATGACTGTCACGAAGGCGTCTTCAGAGATCGACCCTCCGCATCGAAGAAGCTTGTCGTGCAACTCGCGACATCGACTGATATACGCCATTCCTTTCTCCCCTGGTTTCATTTCAACCGTTGTCAGTTGCGCCATTAACCGACTTTGGCTTACGCTGTCTGTTGCTTGATACAGGCTCTTCAGGTGGTTGTACGCGAGCTCCGCGGAGTTGCCGTAACCTCGGTAAGACCTTATGTTCTGCTGTTGAGTCGGGGTGATATTCCTCAGTAGGATCGTGTACGCCATCATTGACTGATAGGTGTACTGCTGCTTCTCGTACTGTGTGCCATTTGTTGGGTATGGCAGAGACCCGTCGAAGAACCCGAGTATCTGCGCGCCTTCCATCATCAGCTCGAACTCGAACGACCAGGTGAAGAAGTCCTTTCCATCGAAGGGTCTTGACGTCTGCATCTTCAGAACGTGTGCGAACTGCGACTGAACTTGTAATGCGTCCAGTGATTTTTCTTGTCCAGGTGAAGGCTATGGGTGTGGCATAAAGCTGATGGACCCGCGCTCGTACGGAGCAAAGGTAGGCTGCTGTTGTAGATTTCCTCGTGCATATGATGAGCCGTCGAGACTCATGGGTGTTGCTCCGTTGTTGTTGCTGTTGTGTGACTGCGCAGGTGCCGATTGCTGGTGTTGCTCGTAGAAGGACATGAAGTAGAAAAACTTCTCCATCATGCTCTGGTCGAAGTCTGCAGTTTGATTCGCGGGAGTCTCGGTAGATGTTGCTCTGGGTCTTGTTGCTGTAGGCCAGAGGCAGGAGGTGGAGTAGGAGTAGTGCCCTGGGAGCCGTTGGAGTTGCTCCTTTCCTTTTGTGTAGCCATGCTTGTTGATGTTGTCGGTATAGAAGTCGAATCCCCCCTGATAGCTCTCATACCATGTTGGGCTGAAAAACCCTTAGGAACTTTGCAGGGGTGAACTCTGGGTAGAGTTGGTGTAGTAGCGGAAGCGTTAATTAAAGAGTTGTGAACCACCTTGCGCTAGTATGTGAGGGCGAAGTAATTTAATTAAAACAAAGAGATACAAGCTTTTATAAGAGTACAAGGAATACGAAGAGATACAGTTAATAACCGTTTTACTATTGCTGTTGCGGTTCGATACAGTGACGACTCGGGCAACTGCTCAATACCGAGTCAGTTGTTTGTCCTTGCTGTCGCGCTGTACTTTGTCAGGTCAAAGGTCGCTGACCTTTGACTTTCGCGTAACCTCCAACAGTTACTTTCAACCTCCGAGGGTTGACTCGCCGGTGATTCGTTATACTTCGTTTCTTTTGTGTCTTAGTGTTTCGACACGACAAAGGCGCTTAGGACCGATTGTTTCCAACAAAACCCACGGGTGTATTATTTCCATCAGGTGCAGGGAAAATTCGCGTGCAGGGAGTTCACACCCCCCTGCAAAGGCACAGACATGGCTGCACTGCACACTGGTCAACTTTGGTTGACTGGATGCACAATGCTGGAATTTTCCGCTAATTACTCTAGGACCTACGTTGCTGTGTAAACACCTGGTCCACCCGACCCGAACCTTGGTCAATGTACCTGATGATTCCTGTATCTTTTACGTTCAGGATGCCTGATGTTTCTTTTACAGTTTCTGCCACTAATGCTTTCGACCTAAATACCAACTACAGTCAGCAAAAAAACTATGGTTAGGAAGTTACCGTACATAGCTGTCACTTTTTGTTTCCCTGGGTTTGTCGTAACCTTTTACATCCGAGAGGTTTCGTATCAGGTAACCCAGCACGCCTGTTTCGGGACATGAGGTTGTCCTTCCTCCTCGCTTGGTTCTCCTGCAACCAGACACCACCGTGCTTGTTCCACAGAGCCTGGAGATCCTTTTTCACACCTTTAGGGTTGCTGTGAACTACAAGTCGCAGCGAAGTTGCTTCGTCGCTCTCTGGATTCCCTTATTCTGGTAGTGTTGGGTGCTGCTAGCAAGTGGCTTCGTGACCATCAACATGGCGCACCTTATCAACACTGCCAGACGTCAGGTCTCCTCCGCTCTCTGCTCCGCTACTAATCACGGATCTGCGTATTACAAGCAGGTACGCGTCATGGCCATCAAGATTAGCTGCCTCAGTTTTTCCGCGTCCTGTATCCTGCTCTTCGTCCTTGTTTTATGTGTGTCGCCAACAATCAGCTATCCGTTTTGTCGATGCAGCTACTTGAGACCAACAAGCAGTACATTGTTGATGGCGGGAATCCAGAGAAGGTGAAGGAGCTCTCGAAGCAGCTTTATTACACCACTTTGGCGAGGTAAGTCCCCACCTCGCGATCTTCCTGAACTCGTTGGCTGCCTCTATCCAGTTTGCTTAGCGTTGTTTTCCCCTTGCCAGTTTGCTAACCTCACGCGTTTTGTTGCAGCTTTCCCAAACGGTATCAGCATGCGCAGCAAGAACTGCAGATCGTGAAGCAGAAGTGGGCGAACCGAGCGGAGCTGCAACTAGAGGAGATCGGGATTGCCACATTGTTTCTCGCGGAGGTGTATGCCTGGTTCTGTGTGGGCGAAATCGTTGGCCGGGGATTTACCCTCACTGGCTATAAGCCTTAAGCTGCGTCAGTGGAACAATTAACTTCTGGTGCTGCTGCAACTACGCTATTTGTGACGGAAATTCACCTGGAACCCCTCTGTTCCATCTGCATCAGTATCTCATGATTCATGGCGTGTACACGTTGCAGCGTGGGCCCGAAGTCTTCCTGAGAACAGACACTATTTGAGGGGAAATGAAGTTCCGCCACACTTCATGCCTTCTTAGGTCTGTCTGCCCTGTTCAGCATAAACATCCCTCCCTTCCCATCTTGCACACTACCATGAAGTATTCGGGTGCTTGCGCTCCATGTATTGTAGGCCTGAACCAGGACTAGATCATGCCATTGGCCGTTGTACATGCGTATGGACTACATACATTTGGGAATTGGATGGGGAATCCAATTGAGATGTATGAGGAAAGTGTGATGGTATTCACGAAAATTAACATGTATAGACAGCACTCAAAGAAAAACATTACTTTTTCTGCAAGGATCGATAAGGCTAAACGTGTTATAACGAGGATCACTCCATTTCGCCTGCACCCTCCGATATAATCGATTGGTAGGACTCAGCTCCTCCCGTCCTGCGCGTATTGCGGCCGCCATTCTCACATGGCCATCTCCTTGGCGCGCTTCCGCCACGTCCACTGCTCAATCCCGCGGGTCCCTTCTTCACTGAAAATCCCAACCCTCCGTTCACGACCCACTCTCACGCTCAATAAGCCATCGTTTTTCCTGTCGCTACCCGCTTATATCCTTCTTTTAGCACTCAGCCTCGCCGCAATTCCCGCTGACGCGGTCCTCGCATCCGCGAATCCCGATCGTGCGAGGATTCTGGAGAGGAGCGGGCAAATATCGAGTGAAGGAAAGCGCGCTATCAGGCTTGCGCAAGAGGCGGCGACCGCGGGAGGGGGGGAGGCGGAAGGGGGAAGCGGGGGGACCGATATCACGGGCCATGTTAATCCCGCGGGGTATAGCTGGCGGCGCGCTTCTGGCGGCGACCGCGGCGGCGGCGGGCGCGTGGGCGCATGGGCGGCGTTCCTGGTATGGGGCTTCGCGTTCGTGGCGGCGGGGCTTCTAGTCGCCGTCGGTATCTTCTGCGTGAGTGCAGGGCGGCGGAAGGGGAAAGAATCATTCCGTACCTTTTTCAATCCTTCCCCTGGGCCTTCTTCCCCCAACCGCACTCTGTCCCCTTTCTCCTATTCCACTCCCTCTGTTCCCTGTATCTCCCTCCCCCTCTCCCCCTCCCCCCCTCAGCTGGTAACTCTATCGGACCTGCAGCACGACTACATCAACCCACACGACAGTGCGGCGTCTATCAACCGCTTCCTGCTGCCCGACATGCTCGCACACGCTGCAGTCGCGCTGCTGCTGCTGCTCTTCCCGCCCTCCCTGCTCGGCCTCCTGCTCTTTGCTCTCAACGTGCCGCTGCTGCTCTTCCACGCGCGATGGTGGGTCGGTGCTGTGCGGTGGCGTGGTGTGGGTTGCGGTGGTGTGGGCTGCACTGGGCTTCCTGTGTTGGTGCTGTGTTGTTGAGGCGTCTTGCAATCAAAAACGTTATGGGCTGGTGGGTTGATGCGTCGATGCATTGATGGAGGTCGCTGGGTTGATGGGCTGCTGATGGGTTCATCATGGCTTTGTGGCCTGTAACACTGCTCTGTCCGCACACAGGTCAAGCTGCTGTTACACAATGTGCGAGCAATCAATGCCTTCTGAGACGTGTCATCACCGCCCTCACAAGTCTCCTCAACCCTGCCACTTTGCCACACCTCCTTTTAACCTACCTAAAACGCCCCCTTCCCTCCATCCTGCCCCCCTTTCCACCCCATTATCCTCCTCCCCCCCGTCCGCCCTCTTTCTTCATCCACTCTCCTTTTTTCCTCTGGGATCAGTCTTCTAGCCGGCTCGTACACTGTCGACGTGACAGAAGTTTTCGTGCAGCTGCCCGAACTGCGCAGGCTGTGGCAGAAAAAGGTGGCTCTGTACTGCATATTGGTGCTGCCTGTGGTCTATAGGTGAGGGCATCTTGTTGTATGCTTTTGTGTTTTTTTGTTTTGTTTTTGTTTTGGAAATGTAACAATAAAACTCAGACTATGACAGGAGAAGCTCTCATCACAGTGAATACTGTGCTGTGTCATGCTCCTACTGGCAGTTATAAGTGAGTGCATTGTTTGTAGCATCACAGCTACTTGCATTGCACCCCTCGCTTTCCCTCCAGTGCTTGTACTATATATCGCCACGTGCTCATTTCCATCTCATCTCCCCTATTGTTGCGCTACTATTGCTTGTTTGTCACTCGAATTATCGCTCCCTGTTGTTCTCTCTCCAGCTCGTTCTCTCTTGCATCTCTCCTCCTCTCTCGCTCCTCTCTCCCCCCATTCGCACCCTTCCCCGCTGCTTCTGCTCTCCCATCTGCCACTTCCATCCCCCCTCTCACCCGCTCCCCTGCCCCTTCTCCCCACCCTCACATGTCTCTCAAAGGATGCTACTGGCATATCTTCTTGGTGGTTGGAATGTACCTTTCTCCGGTTTTGTCTGCCCCCATGTCAGCCCCCATGTCAGCCCCCATGTTTGCTGGTGATCGTTTCTTTTGAGTCCACTCATGTCATAAGCAACCCTCCCATCCTCCTTCTCCATTGCCACGCGCCCTTCCTGTGCCTCGCTCCCCTCCCCTCTCGTTCCTCCCCCACCACGGACACATCTATCAGATGGGTAATAGCAGCAACGCATCTGTTGGTGATCACCTCTTTGGTTCTCATAAGTAACCCTTTCCTCCCACCCTTCCCCCTGTTGTCCTTTCCCTCCCCCTCTCCCCCACCACGGACACATCGATCAGATGGGTAATTGCAGCAACGCATCTGCTGGTGATCACCTCACAACCAAAGGCCGTGCGCCGCACTGCATAAGCAGTTGCTCACAACGATGTTTTGCTCCCTAAAACAGCTCTCAACTCAACTCAAGTTCAAGGGTCTGTGTGTAGCTTTAATCTGCACTCCTTGCATGCCCGGCTGCTATGATGAACCAAGTACACTGCTAATAATGCTGTGAAGTAGTTATGCATGTTATGCCCACCAGATCAATAGCAAACTGCAAGTCAAGTACTGGTACTTTGAATGCCACATTGGGCCCGATGTGCACAAACTAGGATTCAGAACGTTTGAACGGTAAAGCCCCCACCCCCAATGCATTAGAGATGAGGTTGGGCACATTTGGGCTCGGTAATAGGTACCGTATGTATGTACAGTACAGTGTCAATCTCTGTCATCCATGCAGGCTATTACCGTAGAGAGATACCCACCAGACTAAACATTATGCTCGTCACATGGCCATTTTAACAGCAGTAAAAAGGTACCCGGTATCAGGCGCAGTTCAGGTTTATGCCAGCAATACCGTAGTTCACCAAACCACCACAGGTACAGCAGTTTCATGTGTTCGAAGACTGCCAGTTTTGAGAATGGTGACGACTCCATGTGAGGATATGTGTTTCAAGATTGTCAACGGACATTCTTGTCATGTGTCCCCTCCATGGCACATCAGCAGATGAATCATGTCATGTGATCCGACCCGCTAACCTTTTCCTACAGCAAGCACGAGCGGGAGTTTCGGCAAGTGTGATTCGGTCAGCTTGAGGCAGCAAATCAACTCAGCCCGAACAGACCTCATGTGACCTGCCCTGCCCTGCCCTGCCCTGCCCTGCCCTGCCCTGCCCTGCCTCTTCTTGGTGCCTACAGCAACGCAGCTGGCTCGTTCAGCTTCAGCTTCTGCTGCAGCACCGGCACCCTCCCCGTAAGCCGCTGCGACTGCTGAGGCGCCTCAGAAATCAACACTTCACTGGAAGACCTCCAAAATTCCGTGCCTACAGCAACGCGACTGGCAGCTTCAGCACTGCCACCCCACCAGGAAGAAGCCTCTGCAACTGTTTTGACCTCTCCAAAAATCTCCCTCTCCTGGCGAACTCGTGAACTGGAACGCACCTCACTGCTCCAGTAGATATTTGCCGCGAATTCAGCAGCCTTTGAGATGCCTCATGAGGTGCCAATTCTATGGAACTCTGACGATGCAGCCGGTTGTGGATAGGACTCTTTGAACGCACTGACACCTGACGGCTGAGGCTCATGAGGCTCATGAGGCTCATGAGCCTCAGCCTCTCGGTACCGGATCCGGTTTCCCATTGCTGTTGCATCTCGTATGGTGCTCCCTGTGCTCCCTTTGCTAACCACCCGCTGCTGCAATCCTGCTGCTGCTGCTGCTGCTGCTGCTGCTGCTGCTGCTGCCGATTCAGTGAGGCTGAACGGGTTGCAACGGGCCTGCTTCGTCGTGTGTTTACAAAGCAAGTTGCTTGGTGATCGTGTGTAAGGGTTGTGCAGGTGGTCAGGTGTTGAGATGATGCTATAGTAAGGCTCATGTGGAACAATGGGGGGATGTGTAGTGGTGTGTGGGATAGAGAGGCAACAGCAGCACCAGCAACCACAGCGGCACCCACAACAGCATGTGCGAGAGCAGCAGCAACGGCAGTAGGAGCAGTGGAGGGAGTGGAAGCGGCGGCGGCAGCAGCAACAACGTCGCAGAAAGAGGAACTAAGGGGCGCTAAGGCTAGAGTGAAAGCAGCCAGAAGAGCATGAGGAGCAAAGGAAGTTGTACTGTGAAAGGTTCGAGGTGTGCTGGGGTTGCTGCTGGGGGAATCTTGAAGGGAAAAAGTGGACGATGGTTCGAGGGAGGATGGAAGAAAGGAGGAGGAACGGGAAGGTTGGGAGGAGGAATGGGAGGGTTGAGAGGAGGGATGGAGGACGAATGGAAGGGTTGGGGTTGGAGTATGGGAGGAAGTGGATGGAGATGACAAGATGGGTGTGGACAAGGAGGAAGAGGACGGAGAGAAGGGGGAAAAGGAGGGAGGAGTGGAAGAGGAGGGAAGAAATGGAGATGAAGAAAGGGAAGAGGAAAAGGAAGAGGAGGAAGATGAGGAGGGTGAAAGAGGGAGGAAAGTAGGAGGAAGATTGGAAAACGAGGATGCATTTGAGGCAGGAGAGGAGAGAGTGGAAGGAGAGGAAGGAGAGGTAGGAAAAGTAGGAGAGGTAGGAGAGGAAGGAGAGGGAGAAGAGAAAGGAGTAGTTGGAAGAGATGGTGATGGAGAGAGGGGAGACGAAGGAGAGGAGGCAGGAGCGGGAGAGGAGGAAGGAGCGGGAGAGGAGGAAGGAGCGGGAGAGGAGGCAGGAGCGGGAGAGGAGGCAAGAGCGGGAGAGGAGGCAAGAGCGTTGGAACACGGGAGGGCGAGATTGAGCACAGGAATGGCTTGAGTGACTTGGAGGAGGGGGTGGGGTCGGATGAACAGCCATTGATCTTGGTCCCCTGCAGACATCATCAGCACTGCCTCCTGCTGGGGCTGCTGCTGCTGCTCCTGCTGCCCCTGCTGCTGCTCCTGCTGCTCCTGCTGCTCCTGCTGCTCCTGCTGCTGCTCCTGCTGCTCCTGCTGCTGCTCCTGCTGCTCCTGCTGCTGCTGCTGCTGCCGCTGCTGCTGCAACAATTGAGACTGCTGAGGTTCATCCGCACTTGAAGGAACGGAGGATGGAAAGGGTAATGGGGCGGAGGCAGAAGAGCAGCAGGGCGTGGAGGGAGACGAGAGGTGGAGGAGCAGGGAGGCATCGATGAGAGTGGTGACAGACTGGGTGTATCCCAGGGGAGGCAGCACATCGCTTGGGAAGCCCGTGAGGGCCTTTACAGTCGAAGGGGAAGGGAGAGCGAGGGAACTGCGAGGGGGTGGGCGAGAGGAGGGGCGAGGAGAGGGATGGGGGCGAGGAGAGGGATGGGGCCAAGCGGGAGGGATGGGGGCAAGCGGGAGGGATGGGGGAGAGAAGAGGGGTGGAGGGAGGAGAGAGAAACGCAGAGCAGGGAGAGGAAAGGTTCCATGGGAAAGGGAGGGGAGGAAGAAAAGGTAAGAAAAAAAAATCAATAAAAGGGTATATTAGAGTGGCAGACAGACTGAGCAGTTTGAGGTACTCTTGGAACCGAATATGAAGTGGAAGGAGATAAGCAAGGAGGGGAGGGAGGAACGTGTTGGAAGGAGGCTGGGGATGAAGGGACGATTAAGTATCATGCTGAATGGAAGACTTTAGGGGCGCTCCTAAAGTACCACGCTCATTGGGAGAGCAAACAGGACGTTAAAAAGGACTGCAGGAGAGGATCTGGAGGAAAGAGAGGAGGAAGAGAAGAAAAGGGAGGAGAGGGAGGAGGAAGAGGAGGGGTAGAAGGAGAGGCGATTCAAAGGTTTCAGAAAAAGGAGCAAAGACATTCAATCGATACATGGTCAACGTCCCCAAATGTCTGAACTGAGCAACAATAGTACCTGGGAAGGAGGCCGAAATGCGCAGCAATGGCATTGAGATTGACTGTCGATGCTGCTGGCACAATGGCAACTATGATATCCGCTGGAAGTGGGGTGCGAGTTGGTATGAATAGGTGGGAATGGGTGAGAATAGGTGGGAGGTAGAAAGGAGGCAGGGAGAGACATTGAAAGACTGTCATAAGTACTATGCCATGTGAAAAGCAGCAAGGAAGGGGTTTGGCCGAGAAAGAATGACAAGTGCCAGGACATGAGCCACGAATGCAAGAGCACATGGGCACAGCAGCACACAATCACACGAGCGCACGTACGAGCAAGCCTGGGAGGCGCACGGAGCGGCACAGCTGCCATGTTGTGTGGGCGCAGCACGTCACCAAACGCCAGGAACTCCGCCTCCTCTGGTGGGCGGGAGGCATTGGAATACAAAAGGGCGGGCACGGGTGATGGGGGCATGTGGATGGGCGTGGGTGGTGGGATGGTGAGGAAAGGGAGTATGTGGAAAGCACATATAGGTGACGGGCAAGGACACGGGTAGGGGCAATAGGGTAGGTGAATAACAGGAGGTGGCGTAATCGCACAGTGTCAAAGACATGTACTTTCATTTGCTTGTGGCACAATCATGTACTCCCGGCAGGAGATACACAGGCAGGTGATTGGCAGCAACTGGTTAAGTTGACAGAAGAGGAAACCAGAGTATACTCAACATGAGTAAACATTAAAGGAAGGAGCCTCGAAAGGCAGGAGATACTGAATTCGCCCCTCACCGCGACTTTCAAGAGGAGACTAGCAGGAGGGAACCCAAGTGAACCTCCACCTCTCCTGCCTTGAGAGTCGTGGAGAGTTACAAAGGAGACTTTCCAGCCTGCAGTGCCTAATTGGATTTTGAGGCGCCTCAAAACTTGACTCGTGCAACGTGCACAACAGCCTAAGTGGGTGGACCTCCACCCCTCCTGCAACCCACCCGCGGCAAGGCAACACAGCACCATTCTTCTAAGCAAGCACAAGCACATGCCGCCTCTCGCTCGCCTGGAACCACGAGTGAAGCTGGTGCTGCTCTCAGCCACAACTCGATGACACTGCACGACAATGCTCCCCCACCCCACAGCACCATGTGCCCTCACAGCAGCACAATTCCAAGCACAAGCACGAGCAGCGCATACCCCCCCTCACCTCGCCCCACCAGTGCCTGCAGTGCAGCAAACGCCGCCCGGTTCTCCGCCTCCTTTGCTGCTCCTGCTGGCAGCCCCAAGAACCGCTCCCACGCCCACTCCTCCCCCTCCCGCTCCCTCTCCTGCTCCTCCCCTGCCTCTCCCTTGCCCTCCGCCACCCTTGCCCCTGCCAACGCCCCTGCTGCTGACCCAGGCAATGCCTCTGGCAATGCCCCTACTGGTGCCCGTGGCCGTGCCTGTCTGGGCACTTGAATGCGAACCTGAGACACAAAGAACGGGAAGAGAGCACTAGGACCATTCCCGTTCCCGTTCCCGTTCCCGTTCCCGTTCCCGTTCCCCCACCACGGGTGATGCTGCCCCGTGGGGTTTTCAGCTGTCTCAACGCCCCCCCTGCCTCCATTTGCTTCTCTCTGCCTTCCTGCTTCTGTTTCTCCTGCTCCTCCTGCCTCTCCCACCCCTCCCGCAACCCCTGCTTCTCCTGCCCGTGCTGCTTCTGCCGCCGCCGCTGCTGCAACGGCCCGCTGCTGCACGTGATGCAGATGAGGTACATGCAGAATGGAGGGGAGTGCATCGTACAGCCAGCGTGTGGCGAGGTTGACGGTGGAGTAGGTTGGAACGGGCAGGGCCCTTGCCTGCTGCCATTCCTGCACCTTCGACTTGACTGTCCCTGGGATGGGCTGGGGAGAGGAGGAGGAGGAGAGGAATGTGGGAGAGGGAGGAGAGGAGGAAGCGTGAGTTTGGGGTCGAGTCAGTTGTTCGGGCCGGGATGAACAGCGACCTGGCCTGCTGCTGTCATTGCTGTACCTTCGACTTGACTGTCCCTGGGATGGGCCGGGAAAGGGAGGACGGGGATGTGGGAGAGGGAGGAGAGGCGAATCGTGCGTATTGTATTGTACGACGATTCAATTATAAAATCGACTGGAAATTTGTTCTACAACGCTCGCTCAGTCTCCTCAGCCACGGAAATTTAAGCAGATGACATTGATAGGCTCGCTCTGAGTGGTTCTGCTTTGAGTGCTCTTGCTTCGCATGGTTCCGCATGGCATCGCACGGCATGGGGTAACATGGCTTGGCCCGGCATGGCATGGCAGCAGATTTAGAGATGGCAGATTATGATTATGGGTGGAAAGGGGGGGCCCGAGGTGCAGAAGCCTCACAGGTGCAGTGTGCGTCACAGCAACACACACTAGTGGTACAACCTCCACTCCCCCTCCTCCTGCTGCTGCTGCTGCTGCGGATGGTGGTTCTGCTGCAGGTGGTGGTGATGGTACTGGTGGTGGTGACGCTGGTGCTGCTGCTCCTGTTGCTCCCCCACCGCTCCATCTTCCTTCCTTATCCCCCCGACTGCTGTCACATGAAATACTGCTGTCACTGCTGCCGCTGCTGCCACTACTGCTGTTGCTGCCACTGCTGCCACTGCTACTGCCACTACTGCTACCACTATTGCTACCGCTGCCACCACTACTGACACCACTACTGCCGCCACTACTGCTGCTGCTACTCCCACTGCTGCCACTGCTGCCACTGCTGCCACTGCTGCCACTGGTGCCACTACTGCCACTGCTGCCACTACTGCTACTACTGCCACTACTGCTACTACTGCCGCCACTGTTGCCGCCACTGTCGGTGCCACTAACTCTATCACTATTCCTGTCCGCAAACGCTGCTTGCACCTGGTCGGTGGTCCAAATGGCATAGGCGTTCTCTGGAGTCAGGGTGAGGTTCAGCGGAGTGTGAGGGGTGTGAGCCTGCAGGGAGCGGGAGAAGAGATAGAGAGAACGGGAGGAGAAGGGGAAATGGAGGAGAGAGAGAGAAAAAAGGGGACAAAGAGGCGTGTGAGAGGGCATGAGATTGAGAGAAAGGGCATGTGCAGACGAGGACTGAGCGGAGCAGAGGGACAAGAAGATGGCAAGAGAAGCAGGGAGAGCAGGGAGAGCAGGGAGAGAAGGGAGAGAAGGGAGAGAAGGGAGAGAAGG